CCCAAAACCCCAAAACCCCAAAACCCCAAAACCCCAAAACCCCTGGAGACGGTTGATATATTGAAATTGATAGATTCATAACTATACGCTGTGTAAAGTTATTAACAATCGGCTATCTCTTGTGTTCTGATAACCTTCAGTCATATCCTCTTCATCGCCATCAATCAATCTTCTTAAGACCTTATTTTCGCTAAGTAAGGCTCCTATAGCTTGCCTTGTTTCCTTGGGAATCCTATAAGGATGTTGGTTCTTTGATCTCCTCAAATTGAATTTGAACAGAAGATCCTCATCATCCACGCACTCTTCAAAAGAGAGCAACTCATTATTGCTGATGTTTAGCACTTCTAATGTGGGGTTATTTTCCAAAATTCCAATTATCAGAAACAGATTTGCTTCGTACATTATGAATCCGTTGATCTCTAAATGAGACAATCAACGAAATAATCCGCCATAGAATCACTGGCAAAAGATTTTGATAGTCTCCTCCCGAATTAAAATGGGATTTTTTACATCAATATTGGAGTTTTTAATAGACATCTTGCTGAAATAGATTGGTTTCTCCTCCTCTAATTCACTGAGATGGGTGAGAAGGATGCTGAGATTCTTCAAACCTACTTCGTTATCCACCCAAAAGATTCCATGAGCTAGGACATACTCCTTTACAGTTTCTTTTATCCTGATAGTTTGAATTTTGACTCCTTTCATTTTAAGTTCCTTAATTTTACTAATAATAATGTTAGCAAACTTTTCATTTCGTTTATTCTGTGCATCAGTCTTAGTCACTAACAAGTCATAGTGTTCGCTTTCATCATAGCCTAATTGGATTGACCTAAAGTAGCTGGTCAAAAATCCAAGGATCAAGAATAAAGGATTAAGAAATAGCCCAAAAGAAGCTACTCTTTTCATTGTAATGTTTCCGTCACCCAAATTTATTAAAAATGACCTGAAAAACGCAAACAAATTATGAAACAGCAAAGCTATTCATAGATGATTGTATCTTGCATCAGAGTATGGTTGATAATAGACTCAATACATTGCGACAAATAAGATCGATGCACATCAGATCAGAGAAGGCCACCACTCATTTCATGGAAAGAAGATTGTTGAACCAATCAGGATTACTTTCTGAAGATATAATAAAGCGGGGAGATATTTTATCCCTTCCTTGAACCTTCTTCGAGTTAAAAAGTAATTCAGGGAGGAAAATTTTGACTCATTTTCCGGGAAATCCCATTCAGATTCATGGATCTCGATTTGGTCTGGATCCTTCTTCATTTTTATCTCATTGCCATACTCATCAAATACTCCTTCTTTATGAGTGAAACTGACAAAGACCACACAAGCTGTTACTTGTAGGATAATTGTAAGCAAAGCTACTCAGAAAAGTGCAATTTGCTCAGGAGATTCTCATTCAATGGTATCATATTTTTTCAGATATCTAACTCCAGTATTCTCATTCTTGCTTCAATGGTAGGTACTCATCAAGAGTCTTGTCACAGGAATAGAAAATACACCAAAAGTCATTAAAAAGGGAAACATTAGTATTATTAGCAATATCGGTGATTTTCTCGAAGTATCTCCTATCTTAATTCACTTGAAAAAAATCAAACAAAGTATTACAGAGAGAATAGGGATATTTATAGCAACTATTATTGCTAACACTATTAAGAAGCTCATGTTCTGCACACTTAGATTCAGATATCTGATATAATCAATCGGAGTTTGGGCTACAGGATGCCACCTGTCACTTTGCAAAGAAGCTATTCCAAGGTATTGAAGAGAGACAATTATACATTCTACAATAACAAGCAAAGATATGATGCAGAGAAAGGAAGATTTGAGCTTCCTTGTTCTTGTCTGATATGCCATCTCACCTTCATAGTATTCCTCTAAATTCCGATTCTCAATATCGAATGTGATTTTATTTCATTCTGAGTTTCTCAAATTGAGTTTCTACTCATCTAAAGCGATAATCAAAAGCAGCTTACTCTCTAAAGTAGTCATTTCCTTGCTCAGGGTTCCAGTCATGAATATTAATATAGATCCAGCCATGTAATGTTTGAATATAAGTTCCTTGGGTGTTAATTTCGTAAATCAGAATATTTCCAGCACTCTGCCAGAGGCTGCTTGTTCTTCCACTCAAAGTTTGGTTTATTCCCTCCTTGAGAAGGTGAGAATTCGACATAGTTCTGTCATGATTGCTTAAAATCGAATTACAATCGCTGCTATTTTTTCTCATAATTATTATTCAATATTTTCATTGAGTATTGGGGTTTTGGGGTTTTGGGGTTTTGGGG